GGAAGGTGGGACATTCCCATTGCTATAGCAGTTTTCTGTGGGGTTAGAGGGAAAGTGAACTCGACTAAGTCGCCAGACTGTGACCCATTGCTGAAGTCCCACAGGTGCACAGCTTTTGGGAAGCTCTCGGCTGCCTTCCTTGCATTCGAGGTGTTGCATCCATGCGCGTATCGTGAGGTTCCGGTGAATTCTGTTTTATGGTCAGAGAAGCACGAGCCAGTCACTCAGGAATGTCGCCCCGAGTGCCAGGGCACTGGTGTCCAGCTGCAGAGTGGGAACCATTGCACTGTCCAAAACAAGTGCGCAGCAGCCCAGCAAAGCAACAGAATCAGTCAGTGCCCAAAGCTGCCTGTCGGCAAGGCTTCCTCTCCAGGACATGGCTTCCCAGGAATGGGCAGGATTCTTGCTGGGGTGCACGCCAGGGCACTGCTGGAACCACTCAGTCAAGAACCCATTTTCAGAGTCCTCTTCTGGGACAGGAGAAACGATCGTTCTCTCAGAACAGTTTACCATTTTCACTACGACAACTGTGCAGCAGAATTTAGAGAGGTCTTGTCTTCTAGAAAGAGGCACTGAAAGCCTGGCTTCGCCGAGGTCCTGCTGTCCTCTGTTAAACTCCATGAACTACAGGAAGAGCGCCACCCCTCTCCCTGTCCTGGGTGCCGACCACGCTGTGCAGGTGCTGATGGAATGGCGGCTTCCCGTGTGCCCCCTGCAGCCTGCAGTCTGCGCTAGACTCACTGAGGGACCCTGGCCACTTTCTGGGCACCAATGCCGCCTGCAGGAAACCCTCCATAGCAAGACAGGAGGCATCTCCTGGCTCCTCCTCCATGTGTTGCCCCAGTCTGCACTGAAGTCCACTCAGTGCATCGTCCACCTTGCTACTGATCTCTATGCTTAGGGGAAATCAGTCTGGCAGATTTTATTTCTTCTAAACCCGACTTTAGAGAATGTCTAAATATTAAAATAAATTCTTTGTTTGCTATTTGGGACAGTCTGACCAAGGTATAATACCATTTACAGACAGAAGCAAGAAGACAGCTTCCGTTACCTATAGGAGGGAGTCGACTTCAGAGCTCTCCCAAGCTCCAGGCATAAGGGAATCCCTGTGCAGACACGGCAGCCCATGTGGACTTGCCAATGGTGCACACAGGACCTCAGCTGTATGGGAGTCTCACAGGGTTCCTCCCCCATGGCTCAGCTGGTCTGAAGAGCCCTCGTGAGGGCTGGTTTGGGGGTATAGAGTGAGTCGCAGACAGTTATCTGAGCAGACGAAACCAGCACCCTGCCATCCAAGTCTGGCTCCTGCCACTGATGCTCTCAGCAGCAAGTAGGGGCGGTTGGCGAATTGATCTTTGTGCAGTCAACGTTGTGCTCAGCATGGGAAATGTAGAGAAAGTGGAGAATATAATGTAAGATTCTAGAAATCTGGTGGTAATAGTATCAATTCATGCATGAACTAAAATTTGAGCAGTTCCCTTGGATATTTCTGTCTACATATGTTGAACTAAAATCACAGGAAGTGACAGTCGTATAGCATCTTCTAATTCTTTGGTCATTTGTATCAGGTCACGATTAGGGGCATACTAATAAGTTCATGAGTAAAACTGATGTGAGAGTAAGAAGAGTGACTGACACACTTGGCCCTCCAGGCCTTTCTTCTCACACACTAACAGGACGATTTCCAGACTAACACTTCTCAAGAAAGGTTTTGTGACCTCCCAGGTATGACTGTTTTTGCTGCAGAATTGCCTGTGGGAAACATTAGGTGATCTCTATTTAAATTGAAGCCAAATGTCCTGAAAGGAAAAAAAAAATAAACTAGTGAACGATTAGAAAAACCAAAGCACCCTGGAGTCTGGCATCTTGGTGTGGCGTCCACCAGGTGACCACGTTGCCTTATTTAGGTCACTAGATACCTGTTGAGAAGTGGGCGGCACTGCACTCATGCCGGTTTGTCTGTCTGTCATTCTTTATCTTGCAGGAAGTAGTGTTGCTTACCTTGCCTTCTACTGTAAAGGCTCAGTAGAATTTTAGCAACCAAATGACTCTTGGCAGGTGAACCGAGAGGAAGTGGAGTAAAACACACAGTGTTGTAAGGCGGAAAGCTCCTAGTGGCTGCCCCCCAGGAAAGGCACAGTCTGGCCCCGTAACTACCGTCTTCATATCTTAACAGAGGCCAGATGTCAAGCAGTAACTAATGTCTGATTTCCACGACTAGACTGCCTTTCAGATCGTAAACGTGGCCCCTTCTGTGGAGAGCTCTGTCCTCCGTGTGACGCAGCTCCCTCGCCTGCCTCTGATGGGGGTCAAGCACACGCCCTCAGGACCGTGCTCTGTCCATCACTCTGTCGCTCTCTGGTCACACCGGGGTCTTCATTTACTCAGTGGTCCGAGACCGTTGCTGAGCTATGGGAAAGCATCGTTAATCACTGTCAAGTAGATGAGAGTAGCAGCGTAGGCAGTGTACTTGGAGTGACGACGCTAAGGACAGTCGTGTCAAGTGGCAAAGTTACTTCACTTCTACTCATATCCGCAAATACATTGATGTTTGATGTATTCTCAACCCTGCAGAAGCGTGGATACAGTTCCACACCCATAGGGTGGTGGATTCAGAAAAATGCTTTCCGTGTGTGGCGTTGGTGACCGAAAACCAGGACCACATAAGGGTTTTAAAAACTACATACGAAGGTTACAGCACAATATTATAGAGCAAGAGCTTCTTAATGTCTCATGTGTTATAAGCGACGTTCTGTGTTGAAGGGCAGCCTGTGATTGCTCTGAGGCTGTGACTGTTGTAAGGGGAGATCCAGTGTAGGCTGGAGAGTGAGTGATCTACAGTTGTGTACTGGCTCCAGATGAGGGTGCCCTGTGGTCCGCGTCGAGGCAGATCGGGAAGCCACAGTTCTCCATAGCTGGGAGCTGCCGTGTCCACCATTACTCAGCCTGGGAAGCCGTGTGGTCCGTGCTTTTCACGTTGGAAGCCAAGGCTGCAGGTGGTGATGCTGCCGCTTCTCGCCTGTCGAGGGGCTGAGATGCCTTTGAGAGACACACTCTGGTTTCCTTGAAGTGCTCAGGGCCAGTCCCTCTGGGATCTGCCGTGGCCATGAGTTACACAAGAGTTGGGGGAGACATCCTGACTTCTAACCCGGGCTCACCCTCCCCTGCATGCCAGTTCCTAAAGTGTGCCGTTACCATCTTGGCCAGGAGCCGGGCTTCTTTGCTGGACTTTCACTGGCAAATGCACTTGAAACACAGTGGTGAACAATTTTTCTTCAGGTTTAAAGTGAGTCTGGTCAGTCGTGTTGGTCCAAATCAAGGATGAGCCTGCACAGGCCCAGAGCCAGGGTGCTTTGCCGCCATGCACTTGTCTTCAGGACCACTGTGGCCTGCATCCCCAGTCCTCCCTCCTGGAGTGACAGTGGGGACAGGCTTCAGCAGGAACCCCCCAGTGCTGTCCAGAATAACCCCCAGGAGGCGGGTGGCCTCTTGGAGGACCTGATGTGTCATGGTGGCGTTTGTTTCTGAAAATGAGATGTTTTCTGCACCTGAGATGTCCTGGGCAAGCTGGCCTGCAGCTCCTCAGACTCCGGCGAGCTCGGTCACTGGGACTGCAGTAACAGAAGATCCGTTCCCCACGATGACAGCCTCTGGGGACGGGCGGCTCTGGGAGCCAGTGTCCTGTGTGCCCTCTGAGAGCACTTAGGGCTCCATTCAGTTCATGGAGAACATTGGGCCTCACACAAGCCCCCTCTGCATGGGCTGGGCACGGGTCTGGTCTGCACAGAGCTGACTTCATCAGTCAGCTGATGAGAGACCTGGCAGGGCAGAGGTCAGCCGCGCAGTGCGGTGGTTTGGCTCTGACCTCCTGTGTGCCTCGAGGCAGAGAGAGCAGGTGGTTTCCTCCATCTCCCCTTCATGGAGTCACCTTGCTGACAGGTCCAGTAGGAAACGGAAGACACAAAGACCCCAAAGCGGTCTTCCATGGCAATGTAGATGGCAAGCTCAGATTCTTCCAGAAGGGCGAGGCTGACCCCAAGCGCAGCACCGTGACAAGTGCACAGTTCTCCCAGCTCCGGTGTTCTCTGCCCAGCGTAGGGCGCCCGCCGCTGTGGACTTCGGTGGGCGAGTGAGTGGCAGGGGAGTCCACAGCGAGACAGTCTGCATCTGTTCAGCCACATTCGCCGCCCTCCTCCTTGTGAATGAACGATTCAGGGATTGTAGTGAACATTTCCCCCTCTTACACATCCCAAACCCATGGACACAGACCCTTTTAAATGTGAGCTGTTCTCAATGCCCGTATTCCGTGGACTAAGGAGACTTTGTTTCCATCTATGAGGAGGGAGCAGAGGAGAAATGGGCTGAAGACAAAGGAGGGGGGGAGGCAGGAGAGGGCGGAAGGGCAGGGAAGACATGGACGGGGAGTGGACATGGGTAGTAGGTGCTGCTGGAGACGACAGAATCCCCTCTCCACAGCCTGCACCAGGCAGCGCCCCGGCCACTCAGCGCCCGGAGAACAAAGATTCTCTCCACCTGCTTCTCCAGCTGGACGCCCCCCCCTCCCCGTCAGAGCTGCCTCCACCACACTCACCGGGCGCATTCTGATGTTTCAGGGGCCTCCGCCCCAGCGTGCCCTGTGCCCGCTGCGGTCGCCCTTGGGTCTCCCTTCTCTCTGCACACACAGCCAGGCCCAGAGCACTGAGTTTCAAACCCCAGCTTCCTCCTCTTCTCCTGAGTCTACTGCCTCTTCAGGAAATGTCTCCCCTGAACTCTAGGCATCCATCATCATTATTTTACTTCCAAATATTGAGAAAAAACATTCAAATTTAAAAGAAACACTTTGTAAAATAAGCATCTGTACTATATATGAATGTAAGGGAGATATTGTGTTATGTATCCAGCATTGTCATTGACAGTGCAAGTGAGCCCAGCATGGATGCGCGCTTGCTACGCAAGATAGATAATCTTCCGTTTTTAACTCTGGACTTCCTTGCTTTCAGCTGGCCACTGCGGCTCCCCGGACCCTATCGTGAACGGCCACATCAGTGGTGACGGCTTCAGTTACAGAGACACGGTGGTCTATCAGTGCAACCCTGGCTTCCGGCTGGTGGGGACCTCCGTGAGGATCTGCTTGCAGGACCACAAGTGGTCCGGGCACACTCCTGTCTGCGTCCGTAAGTCCAGCGCGCCAGCTGCTCAGCAGCTTCCTGCCGTGGGACAAACACGTTCAGTCCCCAGATAGACCGAGGGAGGCTGTGCCGCTCACCTGGCACAGAGTGGGCCCCGCCCCGGTCTCCAGCTTGCTCTCCCGACCCTTGGCCCATGCTGTTTCCCTCCCACCCTCCTGCACACGCAGTGAGCTTTGGTTTGCCTGTTGATTCGCTTCAGTGGGTGCCGTGGCTTCCTCCCCCTGGCATTGTCACAGGACAGACTGGGTGGACACGATGGTGAGTGACAGGGCAGACCCTGAGCTGGACCCTCAGCTTGCTGGCTCCCAGAAACCATACCCCCTCAACCCTCTGTGCTGTGTTTGCCGTCCTTTCATGGAGAATATGGTTTTGTCTTTCCGTAGAAACTGGTGAAAATATACAAAATGATTATCTTCACCTGCTACACCCAGATTTAAATAGCGACTGCTGATGTTTAGGACACAAGCAACCCCGATTCCAAGATTCTTCTTGAATGGACGGTTTTGCTAGCGCACTCTTTGTTGTCCTGTGAATTAAGCAGAAGCAGTTTTGTCACTACAGGGAGCTGGCAGGTGTTCTCGGTGCTAGTGCTGTGATAACATAAAAAGTTCTGGGATGACAAGATAAATGAGGAGGGAAATGCCAGTTTAATCACCATCCTGTGTTTCTTTTGAAGATCCCTTGCAGCTCTGTGCTGCCCTTATTTGGGTGGGAGAAATGACAATTTCCAGCATGGCCAAGGGACGTACACTAGAATTCTTGATGACAGTCGCTCTGGAGTATGCACAGTTATTTTGCTGATTTCGTGATATTTAAGATGATATTGGAATAATTTATCCATAGACAATTGAAGGTGCCAAACAAGTGGATGGAATGCTTCAAAATGAGGATTTCACAAAATTGGCCTTTGTGTCCTCGGGGAAAGTACTCACAAATCATGATTAATCCAAGCATCTCCAGCACCTCTTGTTTTCCACTGCTTCATTTTTCAGTCGTTTGATGTCCTGTCACTTTCTGAGTAAGAAAATCACGATGATGATAAAGAATGTCTGGCAGGGGTTGGTCATTTTCCTCCATTAAAATAGCACCCACAGTCTCAGCCTGGGGTCCACCCACGATGTCCAAAAGTTGTGCTTTGGAAATTTATATTTATTAAATAAAAGTTAAAAAAAATAAAAAAATCAATAAAAAATCAACAATAAACCAAAGGTAAAAGCCACGTGTGCTGTGACACAGCCCCTTCAATGGTCAGACCAAGCGAGCGGGACGAGCAGTGACGCCACCTGTCCTCTTCCGCAGCCATCACCTGTGGCCACCCTGGGAACCCGGCCCACGGCCTCACAGACGGCAGCGAGTTCAACCTGAACGACGTGGTCAACTTTACCTGCAACGCGGGCTACTTGCTGCAGGGCGCGTCTCGAGCCCAGTGCCGCAGCGACGGGCAGTGGAGTAGCCCTCTGCCCACCTGCCGAGGTAGGATGGCACGCGGGAGACGGGCGCTGGACGGGAGCGCGGCAGGCTCTGCGAGCCCCAGGGCTCGGGTGGGCTGCGCCTCAGCGCAGGGGTCTCTGCACTCCCTCTCACCCGCGGGGTGGAAGCGTTTCTGAAACAATGCACCCATGCCTCCACCTTTGACTGTCAACTGCCACATCAGGAGTCTCTCCTCCCTGTACCCAGCGCTTCTCCCCTTCTCTGCCTCGGTCAGTCCTGTTTACTTAGCATCGCTGGGTCCTTGAGTTGATCCACAGCGCGCTCACTGCTGCTAGATGCCAGTTATTTATCTTGGATTCTTTTCTTTAAGAATCGTCACGTAGACTTTGATCAAACTTGTGTTTCCAGAACATTCTATGCTGCAGTTCTGTGTTCGTGTTTCTAATCTCTAAGCTGGTGATGTTTAAGATTTTGTTCTGGTTCCCATGCCAACCTCTCTCGTGTGGATGGTGCATCGTGCGTTGGTGTGGAGGTGGCGGTAGCAGGATATTAAAACCTGGGCTAATGAGGTGCCCCCTGGTTCCCGAGGGGCTTCGAGGGAGCTGGGTGCAAATGGGGCCAGAGCAGAGTGGACGTCCAAGGCATTTTTCCCTTGTGCACAGCATGAGCTGGCCACGAAGGCACAGAGCTGTGGCACAAGGGCTCAATTGGCGTGTTTGGCTTAAGCTCAAGGGCTCAAGTCTCCTAATTCTACTTTCCCTTAAAAGACAAACTTCAGGATGAGGACGTCTCTTCCCTCAGCCAGCCTGAGCCGTAACAGCAGGGAAGTCAGGGTGAGGGTGGCCCAGAGTCTGTCTCCCAAGGTGGTGAGGGCCACACAGCCGGGACCGGGTCACTGCAGGGTGCATGTTCTCCCAGGCAGGAACCAGCCCTAGAAGCCGGAGCTGCCGCAATGACAGCCCCCTTTTTGCCTAAACGTAGGCCCCTCAAAGGAAACAGAAGGGATAACCTTTTCATTCTTCCTCCCTTGCTACCTTCTTGTGCTTGTCAGTCACTGTAATGATGAGAAGGATCTGAGATGAGTTGGGGCCACACGGTCGCTCCCAACCACAGCAAGCAGGGCTCAGAAGTACCTCCTGCTGTCCCCTCCATATGCTGTACCCCAGTCTCTGCAGGTGACAGCTCTGCAGTGGTCGCCCCTGAGGGTGGACCAGGGCCCTCAGCAAGCCCAGCGCAGACTCGCCTGGAGCTCCCGCCTGGCGGGAGCAGAGCTGGGCTCCTGCCAGGTCCCACACTTCCTGGTCAGACATCTCCCTGCACTTGGCTTCTCGCAAGAATGAGTTGATTTTGAGTGACTACAAAGTCTGGGAATCTCTGGCCTTGTTGTGTCTGGACTCGCATAAGGCAGCATTGTGCTCAGTTTCTGTATGTTGTGCAGTGATGCCCAGAAGCAATGCATCGCCCAAGAGCCCTTAGCTAGCCAGCTAGCTGCACCCATGCGAGTGCATAGCCCAGGAGCACTTAGTTAGCTGCCCCCATGTCAGAGCATAGCCCAGGAGCACCTAGCTAGCTGCCCCCATGTGAGAGCATTACCCAGGAGCACCCGGCTAGCTGCACCCATGCGAGTGCATAGCCCAGGAGCACTTAGCTAGCTGCCCCCATGTGAGAGCATAGCCCAGGAGCACCTAGCTAGCTGCCCCATGCGAGTGCATAGCCCAGGAGCACCCGGCTAGCTGCCCCCATGTGAGAGCATAGCCCAGGAGCACCTAGCTAGCTGCCCCATGTGAGAGCATAGCCCAGGAGCACCTAGCTAGCTGCCCCCATGTGAGTGCATTACCCAGGAGCACCTAGCTAGCTGCCCCCATGTGAGAGCATTACCCAGGAGCACCTAACTAGCTGCCCCATGTGAGAGCATAGCCCAGGAGCACCTAGCTAGCTGCCCCATGTGAGTGCATAGCCCAGGAGCACCTAGCTAGCTGCCCCATGTGAGAGCATTACCCAGGAGCACCTAGCTAGCTGCCCCCATGTGAGAGCATTACCCAGGAGCACCTAGCTAGCTGCCCCCATGTGAGAGCATAGCCCAGGAGCACCTAGCTAGCTGCCCCATGCGAGTGCATAGCCCAGGAGCACCTAGCTAGCTGCCCCCATGCGAGAGCATAGCCCAGGAGCACTTAGCTAGCTGCCCCCATGTGAGAGCATAGCCCAGGAGCACCTAGCTAGCTGCCCCCATGTGGAGCTGACCTAATTTGCAATCTTTTCTCATTCTTTATGCTTAAACTCAAGTATTTCAGAATTGTAGTTATTAGAAAGAGTAGTTCCCCCCTTGTGTCTCTCACCTACTTTTGCTGGTGCTAACATCTTATAAAACCACAGTTCACTAACATCACCAGGATGTTGGCTGTGGCATGGTGAACTTGTGGAGCGTCCTGGGAATCCCAGGGTACCCCTCACCCTGTCTCACCGCCTGCATGTCCCCTCTCCTCACTGCTGGCAGCCCCACACCTGGCTTCCCCGTCTGTCACCCTCTCACTCCAAGAGGACGTCGTGAAGGACTGTGCTCTGGTAGGAGACTGTGAGGGATTGACTTTTCCCAATCAGCAACCGTTCTCTGGAGAGTTGTGCAAGGTGCTTTTCTCAGCTGAGTGACAGCCCATGGGCTGCATGCACAGGCTATTTAACCGTGTGTTCACCAGAGGAAGTGCGGTTGTGTCCAGTTATCGCTACTGCAAGCAGCACTACTGGAGGTGTTCGCTGACCTGCTTTATGTAACTGGACTTCTTCATTTCTCTGGGGAAAATGCCCAAGAGTGTGAAGTGTGTGTCCTGTGGTCTCTGAAAGTTTAGTTTTCTGAGACACTGTCGAGTGGTTCTCCAGAGTGCCAGTGCTCGCTGGTCACCCCGCAGACACAGGGGAGCCCGGTTCCCACACCTCCTCTCCAGCACTGGGTGCTGCTTGGCTTCCAGCTGTGCCCAGGTGTGCAGGGACTGCACACGGTGGTGTCCTGAGAGCTGGTGCTACTGAGCCTTTGGACACACTCACCTGTCGTATACCTCCTCTGTGAGACGCACCTTACACCTCTGCCCACATTCTAACCGGAGTGACTGGACCGTTCATTTGTTCGTGTTTCTATCTAAGGTTGAGTTTCAGGAGTGGTCTGTTACTCCTCATCCAACCTCAGTTGTCCGGCACAGGAGCGGGAACCTTCCTGCCCATCTGTTGCTAGTCTTTCCATCGTACTAATAGAGCCTCATTAGCAGCCAAGTCTTCAGTTGACCAATTTTTCCTTTTATGGATCATGCTTTTGGTGTTAAGTCGAGACTCTGCATGGACTTATACCTTGAAGACGAGGTCCTGTATTTTATATAAACTTTTGCATTTTATATATTCTGAAATATGTAGCCCATTTTTGTAGAATGTGTTCAGTTTTGTATAACTTAGGTTTTGGAATAAGGACTTTTTTTTTGCCTATGGATGTGCAAGGGATATTGGTTTTAAGTCATTTAATAATAATAACAGGAATTGTTCTAACATTTCTAATATGATGTAGCAGACAAAATTAAAAATTTACCTTTAAGCACCTGTACCTAATTTTATAAATTGACATTTTAAATCAGTTGGCGCTATGCAATCCTTGCTGTGTGGATGACTGTGCCCACTTCCTACCAGAGACACAGCATATAGAGGGTTACATTTGTGCCTTTTCCACTCGAGGAATGGTTTTCATAGAAGTTAGGGCGGAAAGATCAGTTTTGCCCTATAAACCGTCAAGGATATAAAATGAGGGGTTACAATGAAGCACGGCCAGCTGTTGCCCGGCTGGGGGGCTCCCCGGTACCCCAGGCCAAGTGACTGGCGTGAGGCCGGTGCTCGCGTCTTCACCCCAAACACAGGCACTGCGAGAGTCAGCTTTGTTTGAAGGGAAAGGATGGAACCTTGCAGGAAATGCTGCTCTGAAAGGAATGCCCATCACCAGTTCTGTTCAACAAGCCCTAGTGTTCACTCAGAAACACGGCAGACGCTGCCTTAGACTCGGCGTTAACTTTACAACCAGTGGAGCAATCCACAACGTCTGTTCACGGATAGTCATCACACACACCAGATTAACTCTCTATTCCATTTGCCGTGTTGTACAGATACTGTGTTCCGGATGTCCACACCGCAGGTGGACAGTATCATATTGAATTCGTGTGCCACCGTCACTGAGGTGAAGTGACTCCAGGCCAGCACTAGGTAGCTCAAGTCCCCTCAGTGCACATCCTAACACTTGATGCACTCCGTCTGTAAAACACTAAACATAGGGTGGACACCTGATGCCGTGGCTAGGACGCTGCCTACAGCACCTGCAGCCCGTATCAGAGTGCCTGGGTGGACTCCCATTTCCCCTCCAGTCCCGGTTTCCTGTAGGTGTGCACCCAGGGAGGTGGCAGATCACGGGTCAAGGCGCTGGGGCCTGCCACCCAATGGATGGCTCCAGTGCTGCTCCTGGCTCCTGGCTTAGCCTGGCCTTACCCTGACCATTGCAGACGTTTGGGGACTGAGCCAGTAGATGGAAGATTCTCTCTCTCTCTCTCGTTCTCTCTCCGCTCACTCACTCTCTCTCTCTCTGTGTGTTTTCAAACACATTAAATAAATCAAATTATAAAGTTTTTAAAAACACACAACAAAATTTGATTTATTCAGTCCAATAAGTGCTGCATTCAATTGAATGAAAGTTCAACCTCACACTTGGTTTTAATGGTAAAGTTTTGCCTTCTCCTAAAAGAATTGAAAGTAGCCTTCCTGAGAAAACAGTCAGCATGTGGGGGACTGGGGTTGGGGTGCATCCTGCCCTTGGCTTCCATGCCATAGCCTCACGCTTCACCCTGAGGCCGACGCTGGCAGAGGTGAGAAAGCACCCTCTCGGCTGTGGTTGCCGTGATGCTGGTGATTCATGACCAACCCTGGACAGGACGGGTGACGTGAAATCCCAGACGGACAGCAGCACTCACTCATCATGTCGTCAGCCTTTGGAAAGACCTCCCACGTGAGCTGCAGGAACCCAC